TATCTGTCTTTACATTCTGAGGAATGTTGAAACGTCTTAACTTCAAAAAGAGAAATCTGTGTGGATCGCTGGTGTAGGTATCGCATTGAACATTACATCACGGCAGTTGTGTGTGGCGTCGCTATGACGAAGCTACGTACTATCTCTGGGTACTATCTGCAATGGAAAACGGAGCAGGGCCGAGTAGAGTTGAGTCTATTGATTTGCGCTATGGTAGCATTTTTCAGCAAGGCAGCATAGATCATCAGAACACCGGCAACAGTTCAACGTTTAACCTAAAAGACGGTGCAACTCCAACTCTGTTTGGGCCTGGAAATTCACAATCACAACCTGTAAATATGCTTTATTGGTTGTGAATTATATTTAAAATAAACACGGCAATGTAAATTCACAGACTGTTCAAGTGCTGAGTTGTTGTAAACGTTGGCTAACACAGCTAAAGTTATAACTATAATGCTAATGTTACACCTGATGTGAAAGCAACTGAGCAAATGTTCAAATTGTTTGGCCAATTTTTATGTAAAATTGAGTTGAAATATGGTTGTTTTTGTAGTGGTTTATGGTAAGATGTGGAACAATGATGTGTGGTTGTGGACTTATGGTGCGTTCCATTTGACATGGGAAGTTGGAATTTCCGAGTTCAAAGGGAACGCCCCCTTAAGTCGGAATCCCGACTTCGGGGATTCCGTAACACGATGGGGGACCTTTCTTTCAATTTGCGTTCCGTGTGACTTTGCCGGTTAACAATTTTTTTTTTCGAAACTACAATAACTTTGTCATGTCACCATTCACAGGTTAACAACGTAGCCCATATGATTTATATTGAAATGTTGTATTTGTGAATGTAACATTTTTCATATAGGCTAAGTTAAAGAGGTTCAAATAAATAGGCTTTTCTTTACAATGAATATCAATCTTTTCATAAAAGAATATAATATTTTTTTTCGTAAATATATAAAGTCATGTTTTTAAAGAAATATTCGACACAAACACAAAATGAATGACAAATGCTTTCAGTTTTGTTATTGCAAAAAACACACTTTTCCTCAACATCAATCCTAAATCTTAATACCACTGTTGTTTATTTGATACACGTATTATAGCAGTGAGTGTAGCGGTAACATCAGATCCTATTTATGCTGGGGAGAGAGGGTAGTTCGTCCGAAAGTTGTCGCTGTATTTAAACCCTATGTGGGTTAGGGAGATTGATTTGGCCTGGAGGATGCCATTGACCAGAGTTCACTCCGTGTCGGAGTGGAAGTGGCGAGGGTCTAGTTTCGGAAAGGCCCCGGAAGTCGGGAGAATCGCACTACCCGGACTTCGTGACTGTCGTGGTATCAACAGTTAGTGAAAGCTCTAGTTTATACTGTTTATTAGCACTTCTGTGTACTTGTATCTCATAGAAATGTTCGTACACAAAGTGCTGTCCAATAGCTGTATGTGGTCATGTTGCTACAGTGTTGAGTAAATACCGCACAATGCGTTTTTTTTAATCAACCAGCATATCAATAGCTAACCTGGCTAGTTGTAAACAACGGCTGGCTGAGTGAGGTTTTCTGACTTGTTAACCGGAACGCCATCAACCTCCGACTTCCGAGGTAAATGGAACGCACCATTATACCATCTGCTAGGTTACGGTTGCAGTCTGAAGCAGCTTTGATTTGGATCACACTACCTTGTTTCTTAAGACCTGCCCTTCTCTGCTAGCATGGTTACAACTTCAATAACAAAAAATAGTTTTTACCTCATTGATGTATTTGCCACCTAAAATGTGCAAAGACAACTTTATAGTTATCTTTACACACTTTCTTGCCATCATGGCACTGTGATGGTTTAGTTAACTGAAGGCCGCAGTGTGCAAGCTAGTAAAAGGGAAAATTGATATTTGTTGAGAGATATTTCTCATTTTATCAGTGGATGTGATGTATGCCTTATATGAAAAATACACCTGTTTTATCAGTAAAGTGAGGCTACAAAAGACAAAAGTTTCAAGTGCCTGTTGTTTCAAACTCTTGATTGGAAAGTCCAACCTACAGATTTTAACACCTGTTAGGTAACAGTTTATGGGGTTTGAATTGTCCCATTGTAGGGATGTGTCACTGATTATTTTAGCCTCTTTTCAGACTGAAGTCTGGGGAAATGACCCTTACTTCATTAAAACAGGATGAGGGGCAACATCTTGCTCCAGTCTGTCCAGTCAGTCCAGCTGGTTCGGGATGTTCTGCCTGTGTTTCGGGATCATAAATGGCTGAACCAAAACTGTGTTTACTAGCTGGAGCGGCTTTGTTTTGGATCACACTTCCTTGTTTGCCAGGACCTGCGCTACTCTGCTTCTGATTGCCTAGTAGTTACCTAGGTACTGCGCATAATCCCACCAAAAATCTTATAGAAGTGAGATTTTCCCTTGGTAGCTCAGTGAAACACACAGGGTGAAAAGAGGTGCTGCAGCAATGTGCAGCATGTCGAAAAAAAATGGAACCATGCAAACCTGTTCTGGTACAACTCCTAAATGAAATTATTAACCTGAAAATTAGTATATTATGACCACTAAGTTTTCCCATTAGTCAACAGTCTGAACAGTAAACTAAACATCAAATTTCAGTGCCCCATGTCGTTATTTTCCAAGCTACTAGCCATTGTATACCATTGAGGCTTTCGTCATACGGAAGTGGGCGTGGTTTCATATCAACTGGATTGGTAAAATGATCAGTGGCATGGGGTGGGGTAAAGCCAAGTCAGAGGGGATGTCCTTTTTGGAGGGCAATTATCTAATGCATTGTGCTATTACAGTGCAGGGTATAATTTAAAAAAAAATTTAATCAAACTTTAAAGATGCGCACTATCTGTTATCAATACACACGCTGAAAGTTGCATTTATCGAGACTTGCGCTCTCTCTCGCTCACTCTCTCTCACCCCAAATAGCATACATAGCCCGTGGCTTATGGTGCAGGTTAAGAATAAAAGAAGCATTCACAAGCTCAATCAGAAGACGATTGAAGACATTTGCATAGTAGCAGTGGTGCATGTATCAAATAGGCCTAGATACTTCTTAATGCTTGGCCAAATGTTCACAATATCACTGAAGACTAACAACCGAATACCCGACCAACAGAGTAAAAACTATTATTCAGGTAGCCTAACCTGGCCCAGTGCCCTGTGGCAGGTGCTGTCTGTGGTGCTCATTATCTATGCGTACACAACCATAGTAAAAACAATAAGGTTACTTCAACTGACTATTCATTCACAGCTAAATTCAGGCAAGCAAACAAAACAAACAATATGACCACATTAAGAATCGCACAAATAGCTGCAGTTCAGTTAAGTTCAGAGAGAGAAGGAGGTGTCATTTCACTCACCCTATTTGAAAAGGAAGGGCATTCTCCTGTCTGTCATGATGGCGAAGTGATCAATAACCAAGTTATAAAATTTCCCACTGGCTTTTTGTCCTCCGCAATAATAGGATCAGTTGAAGTTTGGCGCTACACTGTACGGATATAGTTTTCCTCATTGAACGTCCAAAACCCCCTTTTTCTCTCCACGCCCAGCTCCAGTTTTGGCGTTGGTCTTCCGTCAGATTTAATCTTAAATTGCTGCTGTAGTAGTAGTTTAGTAAAACTATTAATTATAACTAGGAATGTAAACGGTTAATCGATTATCGATTACTTGTCATTACAAGAATTTGCTCGATTAAATTAAATTAATTGTTGGCTAATTGAACAATGCGAACGTTACACAAGATTCTCGCAGGCGGCGAGAGACCCGACACCAAATTGGGGGCGGAAAAAAGAAACCAAACATGAGGCGGTCAAAACGGAGTGGAGTGTGGAAGCATTTCAAATTAATTGATGATGACAAAGACTCTCAATGCAAACTTTGCGGTTCTACGATTAAGTACAACAGCTCTACGAGTTTGCTAAGATACCACCTTCATAACTTGCATACAGCCGTGTTGCAGGGAGGAAGTCTGTCGCGTTCACAACCTACAATCGCTGCTTTGGTGGGAAGGCGAGTATGTGACCACAGGAAAGCGGAGGGCATTACTCAGAGGATTTGCGGCATGATCGAAAAAGATATGATGCCAGTTAGCACCACTGATGGTGAGGGATTTCGGAGTTAATACACTTCATGGAGCCAGGATATAATATCCCTTCTCGAACTACCCACTTGGAAACACGCTACAAAAACGAGAAGGCTGAGCTAAAAACACAGTTAGCCGCGGCTAATGTGGCTCTGACGACAGATTGTTGGACGTCACTGACTTCAGAAAGCTACATTACAATCACTTGTCCTACACTGAAAACGACTGGCAGGTAAAGTCAGCAGTCCTTCTCACGGAGAGCCTCTCAGAGAGACATATAGCTGATAATTTAGCTGACAAACTCAACCAGGCTGTGGAGTCATGGGGACTCCCCGGGCATGTAATAGCCTGTGTGCATGACAACGCTCGGAACATCGTCTCAGCAAACAACCCCGCACGAGTCAGTTGGAAATCAGTTTCTTGCTTTGCACATACTTTAAATCTGGCCGTCAACAACGGATTCGCTGCTGCTGGTGTCAACCGAGTAATTGCAGCTGCTGGCAGGTTGGTCAAACACTTAAACTACAATAAAACATCAATAGAGCAATATAACATGCATTTTTACTCAGTATATAAGCAATATTTTGTTATTTATGTTAAAGACACTATTGATTGAAAATAGCCGCTTATCAGTTAATCATTAATCAGTCGATAAGGTCAATCAACTAATGATTAATGAATTAATTGATAATTTGCATCTCTAATTATAACTAAAAACTCCAAATCTCCACCCTCCATAACTGCACCAGCTAAAGCTGCTAACAGCTCCCGTTATTTCATCTGAATGACGTTGATCGCATGCTGTGATTTGTTTGGCATGAAGCCAGACAGCGGCTGGCTTCCCTTGGCATCATCCTGACTAATCACAGTTAAGCAGTGGCCTCATCTGATTGGTATATTGAGAGTGCGTAGATCTTGTCAATTATGAGAAAAAAAACAATATTTGAGACTTAGTAGCAGTAAATTCAAGCAGTTGTAGTTTTTGCCTTGTGTTTGTGCTCAAAGAAGAAAACTAATCATTTATGAGAGAATATCCTACAGGTGAGCAACTCTCATTGCATGAATTCACATATTCATTTGTGGATGTGCAAGTTTTGTCAGTGACTTCAAACTTCTTGATACCGGTGTGTGAATGTGTTTTGCACCACCTTCACTGCCACAAGTATAGCAAAAATGTGAGTGTATGAGTTTATTAATTTGTAATTTGTAGCATAGGATTTGTACATCAGCAAGAAGTAAATGTTGTTTTTGTGGGTTTGCAGCTCCTAAAAGCATTTCTTCTCTGTGACTTCAAAATTACTGATACACATATGTGACTATTTTCTACAACTACAAATTCCACTGTCACAGGTGCTTAGTTGTTTTGCTCCAATAACACCTTCATTCAGATTGTAACTCCCATTTGGACGTGTAGGTGCTGAAAAAAAAAATAGTAACGAGTTGTTACCAGAGGTGTAAAACAACATGTCCTGTATGTGCTTATGATCTGGCAATAACACAGTTCTGTGTTTTTCATTTCTGTTCATTTTTATCTATTTTTTATTTATCTTATTATCTTATCTTATTTTTTATCTTTTTTCACTTATATCTATATCTATATCTATATCTTATATATATATATATACATACATACATATATACACACATATATACACATACACACACACAAACACAGGACATATTCTGCCTGTAAACGTGTTTGTGATATAAAAGTTTGAACTTGAGGTTAGTACTGAAAGAAAAAAACATACATTTAATAGTTAATGGGGCAAAAATATATATACCTATTTTAATTGGTCCTGTGTTGTCTTCATTTGAAGAGTTATAGTCTGCATGTAGTTATGCTATGGGTTGGGCTGGAGTTGGGCATGTAGTGGTTGTGGTTAGAGTTAGGGGAAGTCTCCAGAGAATTAATTTCTACATCCTGCTAAGTGACAAAGACAAATGTGTGTGTGTGCATTTACACTGCAGTAGGAACTATCTTTGCTTTACACACAATTAGATTGGTGGTTGTGGAGGATATTTGGTTCATCAGAAACATCCACCATGAGTCTGTCTCAGCAGAGCATCTGCATCATCTCAAGTTTACTCTTAAATTCAGGTAATGATAACCTATTTTTATTCACTACTTTATTGCTTTTTGTTATGTATGCATTTTGTTTTCCAGACTAATGCATGTTTAGCTCTGCAACTGAACATCCCTCTTGCTACTCATGTGAATAGCAGCACTGTTATTATTTTAGTATTAGTTATTGTACAGTCAGACTGTATTGTAACACTCCAATGATCTAGCACTCTAGCAAATCTTTATATACTATTATTGTATGTAAGCATGTATAAATGAAGAACAAACCCTGAAAACATTCTTCTATCAAGTATCAATCCACTGTATTACAAATTTGTGATCAATTATGTTTTGTGTTGAATTCAAAATAAAGGAATATTTTAGGTAATTTGAGTTGTAAATTATGATAAGAAGAACATGTTGAAGTAATTAAAGGATGTCATCTACTATCTTACAGTATTAGCTGTGCCATGTGAAATCATATCAAGATAATATTACTCAATAATATATATAATAATAATAATTACTCAAGATTTTTGGCTTCCAGTTTAATGAAACATGACTATTGAAAGCTCTTTTTTGTTCCATGTCCAAATAATTATGATTTCCAGATTTATAATAATCTGTGTAGTAACCTTGTTTGTAAGCAAACCGGTAAATGAAAAGTACAGCATTTTGTTTGTTTAGTATAGCTTTATATTTAGAAAACAGCTCTTCATTTTCATTGATAATGGGAAAGTTTAATTGTTTAAAAGTGCAATTAAGATGTAATAAATGCAAAAATAAAGTGTTTTATAAACTTTCTCTATCGTCAGTGTCTCTATGTTTTAGTAAACTGTCCTGCAAACAAGGCCACAGTGGTCCAACCTATGAATCCATGCAGGCTGTGTTTGACCTACAATCCTTCAGGCCAGCAGTGAACCTCAGCAATCCCACCATAACCAACATCTCCTTCACTCTGTATGCTGTCCTGGGGGTGGTGAGTTCATCGATTAGCAATCTAAGAAAAATACAAAGAGCACCTGAATCCAGATTCAGAACCTCCACTATAGCTGACATAGGGAATGTCAGGCAATTTAAATGTAGATCAACATATGTTGGCTCTAATAAAATTGTCAAAATATGTGCATGCATCACTTGAATTCATGTGACATTATGTATTGTTATTAATCATTGCATTTTTGACTTAACTCTAACCTGGTCTAAGAGGTACCAATCAGCTTCACGTGAGGTTTACTTGTTGTTTACTGTATTTCAGAATGAAAAAACACAGATACTCACTACTTTCTTATGGCTGAGACTGGTAAGTAGCATGGAAAGAAATAATAGACTTTCAATAAATTTTATGGAATCCGATACATATGTATCATGTGTCTGTAACCACAGCAGGAACCGCTTTAGAGATTAAAATACAAGCAGACATTGTGGTTTTCTATTGCAAGTTTAACATTGATGACTAATTAACTGCAGTACTGGCACCATGAGTTCCTAGTTTGGGACCCTGATGAGTGTGACGGCGTCACCAGGATTTCTCTCCCTGTGAGTCGGCTCTGGTCTCCGGACATCATTGTGTATGAGTTGTAAGTTCTCCAACTGTAAAAGCTTTTGTTCCTTTTTGATGGATTGTTGAGAGTTTTGTACTCACCCCCTAATTCAGTGGTCCATTCAGAAGCCAAAAAATGCAAAAGCTGCACCCCAGGTTAGCAAAATAGCGTTGCTTGCATCAGAGCACTTTTGTTTTTTTTTTGTCACCACATGAATCATATTTATGCAACTTAAGGACCGCTCAAAATCCATGACCCCTTTAAGTGGCTCGATGCGCCCCAGTTGAGAAAGACGGCTCTAGTTAAACATGTTTTAAAATTCACCATGCGAAGTTGAGGGAGCAGAAAAATTGTATGAATTGTGAAAGTGATTTTACTTCTGTTTGTTTCCCCATGGAGTCTCATTGAATTAACCATCTCATTCATCTCTTCTGTCACTGTGTTTCTGTTTATTTTTTTAACTTCATCCTGACTTCTCCACATTCAACCCTCCCAGTGTGGATGATGATGTTTCCCAAGCGTGTCCTTACGTCTACTTGAACTACACAGGTCGCATCCGCTGGGACCGGATGCTTAGGCTTGTCTCAGCCTGCAACCTGGAGATCTTCAGCTTTCCTTTTGACGTGCAGAATTGCACATTTACATTTGGCTCCTACATGCACACCAGTAAGACATTTACACAGTCATAAACTCACCAAGTCATTCGCTACGCTTAACACTGAGTGCACAATTATTAGGCAAGTAAGTATTCCGATTCCGATTATTATTTCTATGCACAATTTCTCCAAACCACATACAGTGGGTACGGAAAGTATTCAGACCCCTTTAAATTTTTCACTCTTTGTTTCATTGCAGCCATTTTCCAAAAATCAAAAAAGTTCATTTTATTTCTCAGTAATGTACACTCAGCACCCCATCTTGACTGAAAAAAACAGAAATGTAGAAATTTTTGCTAAACTGAAATATCACATGGTCATAAGTATTCAGACCCTTTGCTCAGTATTTAGTAGAAGCACCCTTTTGATCTAATACAGCCATGAGTCGTTTTGGGAAAGATGCAACAAGTTTTTCACATCTGGATTTGGGTTTCCTCTGCCATTCCTCCTTGCAGATCCTCTCCAGTTCTGTCAGGTTGGATGGTAAACGTTGGTGGACAGCCATTTTCAGGTCTCTCCAGAGATTCTCAATTGGGTTTAAGTCAGGGCTCTGGCTGGGCCATTCAAGAACAGCCACGGAGTTGTTGTGAAGCCACTCCTTCGTTATTTTGTGCTTAGGGTCATTGTCTTGTTGGAAGGTAAACCTTCGGCCCAGTCTGAGGTCCAGAGCACTCTGGAAAAGGTTTTCGTCCAGGATATCCCTGTACTTGGCCGCATTCATCTTTCCCTCGATTGCAACCAGTCGTCCTGTCCCTGCAGCTGAAAAACACCCCCACAGCATGATGCTGCCACCACCATGCTTCACTGTTGAGACTGCATTGGACAGGTGATGAGCAGTGCCTGGTTTTCTCCACACATACCGCTTAGAATTAAGGCCAAAAAGTTCTATCTTGGTCTCATCAGACCAGAGGATCTTATTTATCACCATCTTGGAGTCCTTCAGGTGTTTTTTAGCAAACTCCATGCAGGCTTTCATGTGTCTTGCACTGAGGAGAGGCTTCCGTCGGGCCACTCTGCCATAAAGCCCCGACTGGTGGATTGCTGCAGTGATGGTTGACTTACTACAACTTTCTCCCATCTCCCGACTGCATCTCTGGAGCTCAGCCACAGTGACCTTTGGGTTTTTCTTTACCTCTCTCACCAAGGCTCTTCTCCCCCGATAGCTCAGTTTGGCCGGACGGCCAGCTCTAGGAAGGGTTCTTGTCGTCCCAAACGTCTTCCATTTGAGGATTATGGAGGCCACTGTGCTCTTAGGAACCTTAAGTGCAGCAGAAATTTAACCTTGGCCAGATCTGTGCCTTGCCACAATTCTGTCTCTGAGCTCTTCAGGCAGTTCCTTTGACCTCATGATTCTCATTTGCTCTGACATGCACTGTGAGCTGTAAGGTCTTATATAGACAGGTGTGTGGCTTTCCTAATCAAGTCCAATCAGTATAATCAAACACAGCTGGACTCAAATGAAGGTGTAGAACCACCTGAGTTAAATATGAGTGTCACGGCAAAGGGTCTGAATACTTATGACCATGTGATATTTCAGGGTTTTTTTTTTATACATTTGCAAAAATTTCTACATTTCTGTTTTTTTCTGTCAAGATGGGGTGCTGAGTGTACATTACTGAGAAATAAAATGAACTTTTTTGATTTTTGGAAAATGGCTGCAATGAAACAAAGAGTGAAAAATTTAAAGGGGTCTGAATACTTTCCGTACCAACTGTAAACTTGAATGCTCATTGGAATTAATCATTTTCAGGTGATATGTACAGTATTTGTGTAATGGGGGAGGGTGTGGTGAAAGTGACTCACACCTTGTATCAAGGTGTGCATAATGATTAGGCAGCTTTATTATTTTGTTATTCATTTACCTTGTACCTTCATTACCTCTGGTAAAATGGGCCAAAAACGAGAGTTAAATGCAGTAATGTAACTAAAGTTCAGAAACAGGACCACGCCTCTTTCTTACCAATTGTTGGATCACTGATGGACACAGGGCACCACTTTGACTTCGGGGTCGAGGAGGTCTACTGGTATGGGCAGCTATCATTAAGGATGAGATAGTTGGACCTTTTTAGGTTAAAGATGGACTGAAACTTGACTCCCAAACCTACTGCCAGTTTCTGGTAGATCATTTTTTTCAAGCAGTGGCACAGGAAGAGGAAGAAAGGCCAAAATTGTTATTTAATTATCATTTTATGTTGTTACACTTACTCTAAGAATTGAGAATTAAGTCATTTGATAGGAATTATTTTTGTAATTTAGTTGCCTAATAATTCTGCACACTAATAGCTCTTTCTCTCACAGTAAAGGACTTGAGGGTGAGTCCGGCCCTGACCTTTAAGGAGATGTCTGAAAACTCAAAGCGTTACCTGGAAGCCAGTGGAGAGTGGGAGCTGGTGGACATACTGGGGGAGACCTCCATCCTCCAGTTTGGGGTTGATGAGTTGGACATCATCACCTTCTGGGTGAGGAAAACCCCTGAGTTTACTATTCTTACATCTGCAAATTTAACAGCTGTATGCAAAACATCTGACTATAAGACAGATTGGCCTGCCCCTGCTGCTGAAAAAAATCCTAGAGGAGACACTGGAGCATTATCATCTAAATCAGCAACTACTCTCACACACACACACACACATTATTTATATATAAATATATATATATATATATAAATATCATATTGGAGACTTTAGCAGCTAAAGAAGATTAATATTGGTCTTACATTCAAATAAATGATAATGTTGTCCATAATTACTACATGTGCAAACTGTTTGCTAACAAGTTTGCCGTAACTTAAAAGGTGATGATATGTTGTGTCACAACTTGTTTCTGCTACAAAGGACCAAAATATCATTTTATATATTATATTTAACACAGAACTAACAATACAAAGTACAAATGTTTCCTCAAGAATTATTACTGTTAATTAGTACTCTTTTTAACTTAGTGCATGTATTACATTTGTTACATGTTATCTTAGCCTATATATTGGCGGTGGCTCAGGAGGTACAGCGGGTTGCCCGTTAATTGAAAGAATTGAAAATTCCACAGAGTATGAATGCCTGTGAATGCTCAATGCAATATAGTGTAAATGCTGGGTCGCAAAAACACTAGACAGGAGCTATACAAATACGGAGTATTTACATTTACATTTCCCTCCTTAGATAGTAAAGATAGTTTGTTATATGTTATGATAAGTAGTCTACCATGAACTTTGTTAGATGAAGGTTATTATTATTGATGTCCTGTACAGTAAATGTGTTGAGATTCTTCAAACTGACTCTTGTTCACTAGGTGGTCATAAAACGCCGGCCAATTCTCTACGTGGTCAACCTGCTGATCCCCAGCTCCTTCCTCATGCTCATCGACATCCTGTCCTTCTACCTGCCCCCCCATAGTGTCGACCGCGCCACCTTTAAGATGACCCTCATCCTGGGCTACACCGTCTTCCTGCTCATCATGAACAACCTGCTGCCCAGCACAGCAAACGGCACGCCCATCATAGGTCAGAAGTGGTGACCCCCACCACAAGCCGTTTTCTTAAAGCTGCACTTATCATGTTTTCATTTAACCAATATTATCAAATGACTGTGTGGAATTTGAAAGACATCGCACATGTATGTAAATGTGTAAAAAGTCTGTTTGCCAACATGTTAGATATTATAAGTCTATCAGGTGATAATTTGCAGTGTTGTGTTTTCTGTTGCCCCAAAGTGGCCAAAAAATCTATTAACGCAGTTTTAAGTTTTTCCCCTTTGCTTTTGTGATTTTGCCAAACTATATAACTGTCTAACTATCTGACAATGCAACTACCAATTAACATAGATACAAATAACTGAAAGTAATCAAATAGTCAGAATGAAAATGGTCAGCATATCAATTTTTACATCCCAAAATTGTCATGACCCAAGTAATTCTGGTATTCTGTTCTCAACACAATGGTGGGAACTACAAATTAATTATAAAGAACATACAGTGTAATATATTTTGAACCTATTTAGTTTTATCAATATGGTAAACAATTTTTAGAAATTATGAATTGAAACCACACATGGGGTCTTTCACTTTAGATTTCTGCAGTAGATGCTGTACCTGTCAATTAAAAAAGAAGTAATCTTTTGACACAGTGCTACTTGGAGTCACCACAATGAGTAAAGGTAGCACCAAAACATACATACTTAAATTATTGTGCTGCATAACTATTATTGTTTTCTTATTTGGGACCACAGAAATGTAATTACTTTTTATGGACTGCTGAAAGGGCCAGAGACATTTTGCAGGACTAGGTCTGCCATGCTACAATAATACACTACAAAACAGCATACAGTAGTTAATTTTTTGTAATACATCAACACATCACGTCTTGTGCACATGCTCCATCATAGAGAAGGAAACTAGATTTTCCCATGCATCCCACACAGGTGCAACACAAATGATTAAAAATAAGAATCTGTTAAATAACTGAGTTGTTAAAGTGACCCATGCCCTTGATCGATGGTGACTTTCAATGAACACAAATACTAAAAATTCCATTTTGACAATACAGATAGGTAAGCAAATTAATTAAAACAGAGTCTTCACACTTTTGCTGGTGAGGCAATACAATATTTTTTATACTGTATTATGTTCTTGAACGTGAGTTTTGAAAGCTGGAAATCTGAGAAATTTGTAAAAGACTGAGACTGAGTCACTGAGTAAATTGAACTGACCAACAACTCTATCTGCTCCCTGCAGATACATTATGGCTGTCTTCTGGTACTGAGGAAATAAGTTTTCCATTTGACATGTTTAATGTGTACCCTTTGATCTCTCAATCTATCCTTCAAACTAGGTATCTATTTCTCTGTGTGTCTGGCCCTCATGGTCATCAGTCTACTGGAGACAGTCGTCATTACCAATGTCCTCCACCACAGCTCCATGAAATATCAAGAGGTCCCACACTGGATAAGGGTGGTTGTGCTCAAATACATCGCCAACCTCATCTGCTACCGATGGTCGGAGGATGTCCAGCCCCTGTCTATACCACAGAAGGATAAAACTGACAGCTCAAATGGTGTTTCAGGGCCGTGGATCATCCAACCAGCAAGCCAGACACCTGACCAGCACCCAGCCAGCACCGGAGGTAATTAAACAGATTTAAATGACAAACATTACTTTGCCAACTGGAGCTGCCCAGTGGCCTGACCTTGAAAATACTGGAGGTTATATATAAACACAGAAATAATAATAATGACATGCCTATAACAGTGAATCATCAGTTGAACACTTTTCGAAAAGGATGTGGAGAGTAAAAGCAACAGCGGTGCCAGTGGTAATCAGAGCCCTGGGGGCTGTGACACCCAAACTGGGAGAGTGACTCCAGCCAAGAGTGCAGTACTAGGAACAGCTAAGAGACTGCACAGAATGCTGAAACTGTGCCTCTGGCAGAGGACCTGAGCTTTTTTGAATTTATACACACACACACACACACTGAGTTTATATAAGTATACTGTATATAACGTCTGAATACATGGAATGAAAGTTTGAGTCAAGCAGCTATAACAGTTACAGCTCACTCGGTGTAGACTGTCATCCCTTCTATTGCTGATCTCCTGCCAGGTACAGCTGCTCTGCCTGAGCTGCAACAGATCTGTCAATATCTAGGAGACCTTCGTGACCACCTCACCAAGCTGCAGAAGGAGAACGAGCTGCAGGACAAGTGGTGCCACGTAGGATATGTCCTCGACTACCTGCTCTTTCGCATCTATCTGCTGCTCATCTCCTGTTATGCCCTGGTCATCATCTTCATGTGGTGCGTCTGGATCAACCAGTCCTAACTAGACATCGGTCAGCTGTGAATGATTGCTAGGATCAATTCTTAGGATGTCTAAATGACAAATTCAAAAGCAAGAAGTAGTAGTAGTAGTGGCAAAACAAAGCCTCTGCCACCATTTATTAGTAGGTGTTGTTTCTGTAGTGTTTGTTCAAATTTTTTCTGTTTGATTTTGCTTAGAAAACCATGTTTATGCAATTTTGCTAGTTTTGTATCCAAGAGGATGGACCAATAACTAAGTACAATATAATGGTTTAGGGACAATAACTGTATATTCTTTATTGTCATCACCATCATCATTAACAAAAAAAAAATTCTATTCCTATGTGTTATTTGCTGCTGTTGATAAGATAACTAATCCCCAAACACAGTTAGTCTCTGATATTTTCTCTGTCAAAATGTTATTATTTTGCATCTTTCTTCAAGGACAAAATCTAAAATATCAGAGTGACCCCAAATTCCTCGATTTCAAAACAATGGAAGAGACCACTACACCACCACAGAGATCCTGTACAATCCAAAGAAGGTTAAAGTTAAGGGCAACTGGACTGGTTGACCATACGCGTCTGGAGTT